CGAAGTCTGGGAAGTACTCTGAACAGTAGTGATGTACACATGTAATGAAAATATACGTGTGCCTGCCACTGGCCACGACTGCAAATCTTTACCCGCAACAACAAACATCGAACCTGGAACTTCTTGTTGCGCAGCAGGAAATTGTATGGCTTTTACTATTGCAACCAGTTGAAGACCAGGATAAAGACAGTTAGAACCACCTGGGGCACGGCCTGAACAGATACTATGAATCAAACTTCATTGAAACGGAGGCTTATCACGAAAGGTAGCTTGAGCTACCTTAGCGCTCCTTGCTTTAGCAAAAATGTATTACAATCAGGATTTGGTGATTTGGTCCTGTAAGAAGGGATTCTGTTCGACGGGGGGGGGCCCCCTGGATCAAATCCCCCCTGCGTCGTCGCTGTTTGGGTCACATCCATCCACCTTTGATGCCGTCATGGACTTCTACCAGGGTTACTTGTGATTTCCTGCTACCTTTCGTTCACCCCCTCCTCTCTCAGGTTCTTGAGTGTCATTGCTCAAGGTTGCTTTAAAGGGTGCCGTTCACACAGGATTGTCAGCGTTGCATGTGGTAGGAGTCCCACAAAGAAATGTTTTGTGTTGAGCTGGTTCCAACAACTGAAACTATTGTTGTTGCTGGAGTTGCACATTGCACAGCACGAAGTCTAGTTTATTGTTGCAAGTAGCCGCTGGGTTCAAGATCAGGAGGCTAAGTTTGATTGTGAAAACCCTAATGGAATGTTCTATTATAAAAGGCATTCGTTTTGGATTGGCTTTTGGTAGTCCAGATATATAGCATTGCAGTATGCCAGTCTTGTCAATTTTTTTGGGGAGGAAGCATTGTGCTTTATTGAAGGAAAGTGTTTGTCGAGTCTGCAGTAGGCAGGCGGTACCCTCGGGCGCTCACCCGTTCACCCATGCAATTGACAAGGATATGCTGCCCATACCAAGAAAAGAGCTCGGCTTGACCCGCTTGAGATTGTGCTTACTTAGGGTCGTCTGAGAACAATAGTAGAAAATGTTTCTTGGCAGGTAAGGGTTCTGAACAGCACTTCGTTCAGAGGTGAACTGAAGAATTGCCCTGTGCTTGAACTGGGGCCGTTACAGGAGAGCGCTTGATATTTTGCGTGTTTTCCACCAGGCTCTTGGCCTGGCACTGGATGCAGCCGATTACTTATGTCCGAGATCCTGGGGCTCATTGCAGGAATAATGCTGGTAGTCTGACTGAAGGATCTAGAGTCTAGAGGCAGGTCCAATGATGGACAGGAAGGAGGGAAGAGGCACTTGACAAACTTTGAGGCACTGCTCCTGTACAGTTGGAGCGATGATGCGTACTTTGGCAAGACCTGGAATCTACAGGCTGGTGGGTTTCGAAAAACCTTTGCTCAATTACTTTCAACAACCAAATGCTGAGGATAGAAGATTCAATTCGAAAGGGATTCGGACCCATACTTGGTCATTATGGCACGCAGCTGGTATTTTTAAGTAGGGATATTGTATACTGTGAACAACTCGGTCCTTCTTGAATAGAATACGCCGCATAGGCATATTAAAAGAAAGAAAAGAAACAAGGGCGCAAGCTGTCACCTTCAATGATAGTTTTGCTTTTCAGTTGATGAATTCTCGTAGGCTAATTCCTCCCATCGAGAAGCACCTTGGTGCAAACGCAAGGGAAAACCATGAATTGTTGCTGCCATTTGTGCACTTATGCGTAGTGCAAGTCCTGCCTGGACCCCCATTGATTTGGAGAGAAACACGCTTGCTTGCGAAAACCGAAGCCCCCTGTCTCCGCTTCCTGAGTGACAGGCGGTTTTAGCTGCAGCGGTGCTGTTGAGGGAGGTGCTGGTTGTACGTCGACGGTCCAAAATAATCAAAATCTAAAAGAGAAGAATTCCTTCATGTCCTTCTTCAGGTCAGCGCCATGAGTTCGGTTTCTTTCTGGCATCACGGCATCAATCAGGTGCTTTACTTCATTTGCGCTCTATTCGCCTTGGTGCAATGTCTCAAGCTCAGAGTGGACACTGTAACAGTTTACCAAAAATTGGCATCAACGCAACTAGATGATGCGATGTCCATGTCGACTAATTTATTTGCTTGGATGAAAGCCAAGGCCCGGCCTTTCTGTTGATTGATCTTGCTGCTACCTGGAGAAGTGGAGCTCGTGGTGAGGCCGTGCCAGGAGACCCGCTCTCAACCGAATTCCAAGATTTGTTTGCCGCGGAGAGATTTGTCCTGTAGGCTCCAAGGCTTCAACGTCCCCAGACAATGAAATTGTAAACACTAGCAGTAATGAGAAGGTTACAAGACGTTACATAGTGCACAGATGCCATGCTTGGAGACGCTTCTTGTGTTATGGTATTGAATTTGTGGTTATGACATGGGGTGCCCAGCGCGTCGGGCTTTTCCGATCTTGAGCCAAACAAGGTCAAGGGTACACTTTTGATTTGTGCACCTGTCGAAATTCGGAGTGGAATATTTTCGTATCCACACTCCCCCTGACTTCTAGGAAGTCACTTCGCTTCGGGTAGGTTTTTTCTTCTACCCTCCGCGATTCTCATGAAAGCTTCCATCGGACTCACTTGAGTCCTCTCGAACCCTTGAGGTTCCAGAAAAACCGCGTCGCGGCTCCCAAGGGTCTGTCGACCTAGGCCTCACTGGCATCTGCGTGGACACACCCATCCAGGTCGGTGTCTCCTGATCTGGGCCCTCCTCGGGCTGTAGCACAGGATCAGGTCCCCTGTAGATTTCTCGATTCGGGGGTGCCAAATTGCTTCGCACCACCCTCCATCCCCGGGCGGTCATCTCGTCCAAGGTTGGCGGTTCTTCATCCTCACTGCCAAGGTTCTCCTCCAGTCAGGTCTTTCCGCACTGCTCGACTCACTCTCCGCCTGCCGGTTCCTCTCAGGCGTCTCCACATCTACCGTCAGGTCACGCATGAATGCCAGCCAATCATCCCGCACGTCATCATCTAAGGTAGTTCCATCATGTCCTCCAGGTCCTTGTGCCCAATAGGCTGGGTCATAGTCCCACCCTCTATCTATCTCCTCACTCACCAAGGAAAGCTCTTGAGAGTCTCCGGACGTTCCTGAGCCCTCTACTTCACCTCGCAGTTGGTGACCACGAAGCCGCTGCCCATATCCTCCCAGACTGCCATTCACTACCTCGGTCATCCCCGTGCTGAGTTCAGAGACCGAATCCTCTGGCTCTGGTTCATGTCCTGGGCGGTTCATTCGGACATCTTGAGGCAACCCTGCTGCCGACAGACCATGCTCCGCAATGCCCGGCATTGGCGGTGGTCCCGAGGTCAAGGAGCTACTCATTGAGGAAGACGTCCGATCGCCCTGCCCTTTGGTAGTAGATGAACTCGAGGTCGAAGTCAATGTCCCCGCTGTTGGGTCTGGATTTACGTCCCGAAAGAACGTGTACCCAACCCAGGCATCTCTCGCAGGTGGCTGCGTCTCCCTCCTCCAATCATCGTCTCGGATCACCCTTTCTCCATGGCGCCACAGAACAGTAGTTCTCCGATCTTGAATGTGACTGCAATCCATGGGTGTTCGTCGATGAATTGGATGGAAAGGTCTCATCCTCTGCCTCACATTGCTGTCTCACCCACCAGCCACCTGGAAGTCGGTCCCACCGGTCTTGACCCCTCGAAGGCATGGAAAACCTCCTCCACGTCCAGGGCCGGTCATAGTCCACCGCCGGTGCAGCTCCCGACGTCGTTGATGGCTCACCTCCCAACTCTACCGCAGATCCTCTTCCCAGGGCCGCCAATCGTGCCCTCTTGGTGTTGCCGCCATGGCGCAATTCGGGCGCGTAATCCCGGGAGCCCTCAGGGCTAGGTTCAGTAATGGGTTCTTCCTCTGACCCAACATTCCTACTGCAGGTGGGTTCATCTTCCCTCACCTGATCTTGAAGTCCATACGGTGGATCTACATACTCATTTCTTGTCGGCCCAGTGGCTCTCTTTGTAGAATCACAGCCGGCTTTCCAGCTGGTGGCCAAACTAGCTACCATTGCCGCTGAGCAGCCTTGCCCGTGTGACCTGACGGCCGCCAAGTCAACACGCCCGCTAGCCCGCCTACCAGTGCTGCGATCCTGGCCACTTTGGACCTTAAGCTATCAGTCGAAGCCTCCACCACCAATTTCATTCCCATCGCCGCAAAGAAATGCTGCCATCTGGCCGCCACTCCAATCGGCTTCGTCAGGAAATCGGCCACCAGATGTTGACCTGGAACGTGGGTCACCTTCCAAGCACCCCACTTGACCCAGAAGGGGATGAATCGGGTTGGAGGGCTTGGGAGTGTCTCAGTGAGCTCGCAATGGTGTGCTGCGGAGACTGTGGCCTTCTTCAGCCGAGACATCCACATCAAGTACCAGCAGAGAACCCTAGAGATCTTCGTGGATGTGGGGTAGTGATGGGTTCTGTGCAAGCAGTTGTGGAAGGCACGCTGGACTTGGTGGCTTCTGTGGTGGCACTCTGGAGTATGTGGACGACTATCGGGACCGACGAACTGGCGGGATATGGAAGGGCTCCAATTGCTCTTGGGACCAGGCTGAAGAGTGGCACGCCATGGAGGTGAGGTCTCATTTGTTGATGAAGAGATTATGGAGTGAAGAGTTGCGCCACCAGGGCATTGGAGAAGAGCAAGGCCGTCAGAGAGGACGATGGATGGCTGCTTTGGAAGCTGGACTGTTGGTGCAGGAGGATCATTTGGAGGATCAACATCGTAAGCTGGAGTTGGTGAGGCTTGCCGCAGTGAAAAATGAAGCGGGCTTGGAGATCCAAGATCCAGGAGCCCCTCCACCAGCGGTGTTGCAGACTTATGCAGTTCCTCTTCAACGGGTCAGACAGGAGTTAGCAGCGTGGGTGCCTCCTATGACGGACGAGTACCAGTCATTGATTGAAGGAACTCGGGCCTTGAGTCCGACGACCATGGAGGAGTTGGAGAAGGATCCCTTGTTTGAGGCGATGGAGGTCGCGCCGGGGATGTTGGTTCCTACAATCAAGGCTCCTCGTGGGAAGAAACGAGCTCGCATCGTGGTCTGTGGCAATCGTCTTGAAGCTCTGGATGGCAGTGGTACAGCAACCCAGGGCAAGGAGGAGTCCCAGAACTTGTATGCTGGCGGAGCAGATGGAACAACGATCAGATGTCTTCTCACGAAGGCGGCGGCGATGAGCTGGGAGATTGCGACTTGCGATGTCAAGACGGCCTTTTTGCTGGCGCCCAGGGAGGACTCTGGACGACGACTGGTGGTGGTGAAAACCACCACGCATCTTGGTGGAAGCAGGCATCGTTGGACCTCGTGAACTGTGGCGAGTTCAGCATGCACTATATGGACTTCGATCCTCGCCGGCGGATTGGGCGACCTACCGGAACCGGTTGATGAGATCCTTCCAGTGGCAACAGGAGGGGATGACCCTGGAGCTCCGGGAGACTCCGGAACCCAACCTATGGAAGATAGTTGAGAGAAGACCACTGGATCAGGAGGAGCCGCCTCCGAAGGGATTCATCGCCGTCTACGTGGATGACTTCATCGTCGTTGGCGCCAAGGACACTGTGAAAGGGGCCTTGAGCGGGATCGAGATGGAGTGGAAGTGCAGCCCAGCGGAGTGGGTCAGCAGCGAAAGATGGACGAAGTTCAGTGGATTTGAGCTGAGATGGAGTTCCGCAGATGAGGACAGTGGGCTCTATGTGGGGCAACAGGCCTACATCCAAGAGCTCCTTAGTAGACATCCTTCAGTGACCCCTGCTACAGTGCCCTTTCCCGCTCCGTCTCCTCGACTTCTTCCTCTTCATCAACAAACTCCAAACCACCTCCACTGAAGTCCCTTTCCAGCTCCTGCATGTAGTCCCTCAACGGACCCGTAACCTCCAACTCCACACCTTCGGCTTCTCCTTCACGATCTCCCCCCACCATTGGCTCCATGGGTTGATCAACGGACTCCCCCAGGTCGCTCACATTCTCCCCAGGTTGCCACACCGAAAGCGAATCCAACGGAGTAGGTGTTGAATTTCCCAAACTTGGATCACTCGCTGGATCCGTGGTCATGGTCTCCCCCCCAGCTCGTAGGACACGAAGAGCTGGCTGGCCGACCTCGACTCCTGCATCAAAATGCTGAGACACTACATCTTTCAGCGGATGTGGGTCCATGGACTGCTTCCCTGTCAGCCGATGTCTGATGCCCTTATCCTTGAGGTCCACCTCATGCAACTCCAACATGGCTTCAAGGGTTTTCGATGGAGTCACCACCGTCCGAAGATGCTGGATTCTATTCTGCTTGTCCTTGGCCACCCAACCTGACGACATCAATGGGCTTGGGCCCAACACCTGTACCCTCTTGAATGGGTTAGTCAACTCTCCAGTTTTGTGATGCCATCTTTTGGACTTGGCCATGACCATCGATCCAAAGTTGACCATTGGCTTCGATCCCACTCCCAGCCTTTGAAGTTGTAGGCGAAGTCGTTGAGTGGCAGCATGCCTCAATGCACATGGCCATAGCGAAGCCTCCACCTTGCTGGTGTGTAGAAGGAGCCTCATCCTTCGTTTGAGCTGCAACAGCTCTGCCTCTACTCTGCCATTTGATTGGCTATCATCACCCGAAGTCATCGTGTGGACCATCTCCCGGGCCTGAACCCACCTGGCCACCGCCTTCGTGAGGAAGGACTTCTCCCTGTCCGAGTGCAGCCGACATGGCCGCACTCCCAACATCCTGCAGTGAGCATGGACCTTGGAGAGCGCCTGCACGATGTCCTCCACCGCTTGAGATTGCATCGGCTCTGCAATCGTGAGGTTCTGAAGAGGAACCTCTTCCTGAGCTCGCTCCAGCGCAGCTTTCATGTTCAGCTCAGCCACTTGCTCCTCTGTCGCCAATTCCACTTCTTCCTTCTCCTCCTCGATCTCCACCGCATTCTTGACCTCCGCCTCATGGTCCAGTGGTTCCTCTGGTGCCCCAGCTAGATCCTTCACGATCGGCACCGGGATTGTCGCCACCATCACATACTTGCACCACTGGTTCAACCCAAGGTCTCGCCCCTGCTCAAACGGACCCATGATGTCCACCGCCATCACAAAGGCAGACGAGGCGTTTTTAGAGCGTCGATGTGGGCTGGAGAACCCCATCGCTTCCACACAATCCCGACAATCTCTCCTGTAGGGAACGTGCTGTTGCTTGATGTGCCTCTTTCATTCCTCAACATCCATCTTGGCCAATCCCATGTGGGCCCTCTCGGTTTGGTTCAAGGCCAACCCAATGGCCTTCACCAGACCACTGGACCATCGTGCCCACGACCGAGATGCCCTCATTCTCTCCTGTAGCCCTCCCTCCACCGGGTCCGCCGATCCTCCTCCCCTGAGTCCATCCAGGTCCTCCAGGTGACGAAGGTTGGTCAGCAAACTCGTGGGCTTTCGCCTGGGATGCCCCGTTCTTCCTTGGTCGAAGTTCACCAAGCTCATTCCATACTCTTCCACCATTCCCCTCAACAATGGCCATTCAAAGAAAGATGGATGATCATGCCCTGCTTCAGCTCCATCTCCTACATAGCTAGCGGGATTCTAGGAGAAAGGCCACCGGACCGGGTCAGGTCCTTCACGGTGCTCCTCCGCCAGATGCCATAGCCCCACCTGCTTCACCACCAGTGCGGAATCCCCCGGTTAGCCCCTCCAATCCCCAGCGATCGGAACCACGGCCTCTCACCCTCCTTGGTCCCGGGGGCCCCTTGCACCTCAATCTGCTCGTGGTGCGGCAGGGCGGACCTCCAACAATTCCCTTCACCTTCCCGGATCGAGCCAGCAGGCACATATAGCTCCACACATTGGCATTGTGCACGTTGAAGCCATCCCCCAGCTCCAAGTCCAGGAAAATCGAATCCATGTCGTCTGGCAAAGTGCCTTTCCACCTCCCTGTATCAGCTCCAGAGAAAAGGTGAATCACCAAGCCTCGACTTCGTTGATGTCGACGTCTCTGACGTCTATTCCAAGGCAGCAACTCAGGGTTCGGCTCACTTGAAAACCCAACCATCATCTCCAGCACGTCCTCCGGTACGTCCGGCATGAGGCTGCGCCACCAATTCCAGTCCCCTTGGGACATCTTCTTCCGATTCTTCTGGTTCTCCTCGAACTCTGCCAACATCACCATGGCATCCTGTTGATTCATGACGGGGCACCCCGACCTCAACCAACACTTCACAGCTCCCAGCTGCTGGTGCATGATCGTGCAACCCTGTCCAGTCCAATGAATGGCATACCCATTCTCCACCAGCAGACTCAACGGCAGGATCGGCTCCACGGGCTCCAACGACAAGAGAGTATCGAAGTCCGGATGTCTGTACAAGGTTGTGCAACCATGGGCCAATTCCACCGTGACCGGCTGCAGCTTCCCTCGTTCTTCTTGTCGTGCCATCCTCAATGGGTGGGTAGCTCCACCATCTAGTAGTGCAAGCTCCTGGCCCTCAGTACCATCCACCACGTTGATCTGCTTCAATCTGAAAGTTTTCAAGCTTCGGAGAGACTTCAGAAGGGATGTAGCCTCGGTGATCAGCTCCGACGCCGGGTCACCTTTCTTTTCTGGCTGAGCTCCAGCCTCCCTTCCTTTTTCTCCACCATTTGACGTCGGCCTGGTAGACGTGGACATAGAGCTCGCCGATGAAGTAGTGCCTGGTTTTCCTTGATCAGACTCATCCTTCTCCACCGTCGACTTTCCACTCCCCTTCAACTTGGCCGTCTTCTTTCCACCCTTCCCAGGCCGCTCCCGACCATATGGGCAATCCTTTGCAAAGTGGTTTTCCCCGGAGCAGTGGAAACATCTGTCTGATTTGTTGACGCCCTCCCAGGAGTGGGCGAATGTGCAGGACTCCCCCCGCTTACACCCAGCCGTAGTTCCCCAGTATCTGCAAGCCTGTTTCGATTTTGATTGTCCGTCTCCACCGCCTACTCCACCACCCAAGGCCTTGATCGTCGGCTGAGCTCCCGCTACCGGTTGAAGGACTGCCCCCGAACTGGTAGTCTTGGCCGACGATGGATGCGGCAAAGTCAAAGCCAGATCCTCCGCCTCTGCTTGAAGGAACTCTGCAAACTCCTTGGTGGTGGTCAACGTAGGTCTCCGGTCAACCTCAAGTTCCTGCCGAGCCGCTGCAATTCTGAATCCCACTTGGCTTCCTCCATGTTTCGTGAGGTTCTCCGCCACCTTGGACAAGGCCTGAACCAAGACCATCGAGTCCGGGATCGCCACATGCAGTTCTTCCGCTCGACAAATCCACCTGCGCCACGTTCGAATAGCGCCCAACGTATCTTGGATAGAGCTGCCGCACTTCACCTCCGTCAGGCTGCGCAACAAATTGCCCCTCTCCGCATTTCCACCAGGTTGATAGATGGTGAAGAGCTTGTACAAGATCGCCTGAGTAGCCACCCTTCGACTTGCAACGATGTCCTTCCTCACCGGTTCCAAAGTTGAACTTGCCCGCTGATCCAGTCGCTGAAACCGTGGGGACACCTGCTCCTCCACCTTAATTCTCGACCGTCCCAATGGTGTTGCCAAAAGCCATTCATTGTACTTCACCTCCACCTCTCGTTGCACCCAATCCCAAAACTCCTTGGATGACGTACTGAGGTCTCCCATCAGCGGAGTGATCACCGTCAGCCAGTCCCCAACAAGCAAAGCTGCATTCTCAGTTGAAGGTGATGGCAACTGTGGCAACTCCAAATTCCGCATTGCCTCAGGTAGGGCCGCTGTCACCGATTCCACCGGCTTCATCACATTCGCCGCCCCACTCAATCCACTTCCATGACCTCGAAGATCGTGCACTGGAGCAAGACCAGGAGGAGTGTCAGGTGCTCCACCAGGCTTGGCATTCTCTCCCATCGGCTCTTGAGGTCCTTCGGCCTTCGCACTCGGCACCGACGTAAACGATGCTGAATCTCCAGCGTCCGTCATCTTCTTCACCTCCCGAGCAAAGGTCTCCTCGGCCTCCCTCAAGATGCGTTCTCGAAGACGTTCAACTTGTCCCAGGCCTGGACTCGGCGCAGGATGTTGGCTTCTCGCCACCTCGGACTCACGAACGTGTGACTCACCCTTGGCCGCTTGCTGCACCGAAGCACTCCAAAAAGGATTCACCGTCCCCAAGGGTCCCACCGGCGTGGTAGGATAGGGCTCCAGCACCCGAGGGTGTAGATCATCACGTCCTGCTCCAGCCATGTAGGGTGATGTCCCCATGCGCTCCATCTCCACCCCGCTCTGCCGCAAGGGAGTACCAGCTGCCAGCCCGTGCCCTGGGAGAACTCCACATCCGGTACCGGCATGACCTCCTGATCACCGGGCCGAAGAAGAGGATCAAGTAGGGTAGGTTGGGAACTTGGCCTTTGAAGAGCATGTTGCAACACTTCAAATGACTGCCGAACTGCCTCCTGCAAATGCCCAAGTCCCATCACCTGGCCTCTTGGGTCATTCAACAGCTGTCGAACTTCCGGTGGTCCTTGGTGGCCACTCGATGCCGTCGCGGCCGACTGACCTCCATGGCCACCGCCCACGCCAGCAGCCACCCCCAGCCGCTTCACCTCAGCCGCTGCCACCGGCTGATTGCGCCCTTGCCGCCTTCGCCTTCATCTCCTCCTCGATCAAGGCGTCCAGCCGGCGATCCGCAGCACCAACCTCCAGCGGCGCTTCTGCCTCCTTACGCTCGCGCGACCGCTGCTGCCTCCGTCTGCGCTGCTCCATGGGGACCAGCACTCTTCCGCCCACGAAGCGGCAAGAGGTGGACTTGGAAAAAGAAAAAATCACCTTGGGCTCATAACCTGTGGTTATGACATGGGGTGCCCAGCGCGTCGGGCTTTTCCGATCTTGAGCCAAACAAGGTCAAGGGTACACTTTTGATTTGTGCACCTGTCGAAATTCGGAGTGGAATATTTTCGTATCCACAGAATTAACGGCGCACTGTGCATTCATGTTGTTTCTTCGAGGGCCGGATGGTGTCCTTAGAAAGTCGTAGAATCACACGTATGCGCGTGGTTCGTTGCCGGACCGGAGGCCTTTGCCTGTGTCATGATGCCGGAGAAATTTTTAGGCTGGAAGGGCATAAAGATTCTTTCCTCACTACCAGGAGGCATCCAGGGACTCAAACATACACTTCACTTGGTTTACTTACGGTCTAGGGCCCAAAAGGACATCAATAAAGCTTGTGCTGCCACAAGCCTAATTACATCCTGTTTCGCATCGGTTGTGGGAATTGATTCGTTTTGATGGGAGGTGCATCATTCGCATTTGAGCGTTTGAGCATGTCTCGTTTAGTTTACTTGAGCCAGCTCACGAACTCAAAAGCCACACCCGTTCGCCTCAACAAGGCTGGTACATGCAAGGCTCTGTGCCATCTCCACTAGCCGTCAGGCATCGCCCCGCTCGGACCGTCAGAGAAGACATACACGGTGGATCACTGTGGGTGGCAACCTGTCTTTGCCTGACAATTGCTCGCCATGCACTTTGCTGGCAAAGCTCGCACCAAGCATGACCAAGCTGCAAGCAGGTAGAGTACAAAATGCTTGTATGTTTAAGCGAACCATGCCTTGAAAGCACATGTGTTGTTTCATATTTGTTTTGGAATTCACTGATTTTGACGATCTGGCAGCATTGTAGGAGCAAAGCCACTTTTGCAGGAAATGTTGCTGTCCTGCATCAGTATGGTCCTCATTCAGTTAATGTCATATCGGGTGCTTTTTCTTTGAGATGCTGGTGGCTGTGGGCGCCAGGCGATTCAATAGCTATTGCGCCGTGGTCCTGCTTTTGGATGGCTGTAGCGTTTTGGCGCTTTGGGCTGGTCTTTCAGGCTGCTCCGAAGCTCGGGCCGTCGGTTGTGCCACTGCTCCGATGCTCAAACGGCAGTTGGCTTGTTTGGCATTCGTCACGGCACGCCAAAACTCTTTGTCGAATCGGAGTTGGGCAGGAAGTTGATGTGGGTGGCCCATCGAACATGTTGGAACGCTGGTAACCTTGGTGTGCGTGGGAGCAGCGGTGAACTGTGCAGCGAGGCTGGACAAGCAGGCCCCCTGTACCACTCCTTGTGTGCTACTCGGTGACGACACTCAGAAACTCTGGCATGTCTATTCCTGTTGTGAAATCATGAACGCCGAGTTGGTTTGGTCTGCTCTTCTTGGCCACTGAAGTCGTGTCAAGACTAGGGCCACTGAGTTGTGAAATGTTTTGAAGGCCCAACCAGCACGCTCACAAGCTTTGCTTATGTCCAAAAGATGGCGGCCATCCTAAGATCGCAAGGTTCATCAACCCCCAGACTGTGGTTCAGTGGCATTGGCCTCAACAGCCAGGTTTTATTGCAATTCCCTGCTGGGCTACCAGCATACTCTTAGCCAGGGCCACAGGCGGGCAGTGTTTCGGCAGTCTAGGAATTAAAGCTTGGGGCATTTTGTGCTGCTCGTTCGATCCATCATCAGCTTGCTGGCAACTTTCACCACAAAGCCTCATGCCCTTTTGGACGCCAGTTTGGGACAGGGCCACGCAGGAAGTGCTTTCAATGTATGGAAATGGAGTCTTGTCATCCATGGATGCTCATGTTTTCCAGGTGTTCTTCCACCTGTGGGAAACTTGGCAAGCAACGCAAATGAGAATGAGCACCTGCCACTTGTTTCAGAGTCAACATTGCTTACAGCTGCCCATGGAAAGCAATTCACGTGTTTACTGTGAGAAGAATGTTTGAGCAGCACCACAAGCGCAAACAAAAGCAAATTGGTGGAATTGATATTTGCAATAATGACAAATGTTCAATGTACCAGGAAACCTTCTCATTTGTCAAAGTTTGTGCAACTCAGGACACAGAAATGATTCTGATTCTTTGGATATACCTCTTGGATCGATTGATTAAAAACTAAACTAGACGACGGTTGGCCCGAGAGCGAGACATGTAATTGTCCAGCACTGTCGAAAAGATGTATAGAAAGAGAGAAAGAGAGGGTGGATGTGAAGGAGTGACAGTGTGGATGTGCAGGTGCGATATAGATCTGTAGATGTATGGAGGTGGAGAGGTAGATCTGTGGATGTGAGCGTGCGAAGATGTAAATGCACAGAGACGAGAGAAAAGATATGTAGAAAGAAAGAAAGACAGGACAGATGTGAAGGAGCGACAGTGTGGATGTACAGATGTGATTTAGATGTGCAGATGTGTGGGTGTGGTGAGGTGGAGAGGTAGGTCTGCGGATGTGAGCGTGTGAAGATGTAAATGTAGAGAGGTGAGGGGGTGTAGATGTAGATGCGTCGATGCAACGGCAGCGCAAAGTCAACCTTAGTTGTGCAAGTACAACGCTGAAGAGGTTCAAATAGAACTGAAGAACGTACATTTCACACTGAAGTTTCCACGAACAGGGCGACCTGAGAGTAAACGACGTCACGATCATGACAAGCAACTCGTGTATTCCAAGCGAACATCGTTTGTCATGAAGGTGAGGTACACACATACTAACGTCACGATGACTCTTTTGTGGCAGCCACTTATGAGTAAGCAAAGTAGCTAAAATTTGTCAACCTCTCAAGAGAGCCAGGTGGTCGGGAGACATGACTCAGCTGCAGGGGCGCCAGAGCAGCCGCGAGAGATGACTCATCCGCGCACTATAGTTGTACTACAAAGTCGCCAGTTCTCAGCTCCCAGCTCCACAGCTTGCTCCGCGGACTAAAGTTGTACTACAAAGTCGCCAGTTCTCATCTTCCAGCTCCCCAGATACTCCGCGTAATAAAGTTGTACTAGAAAGTCGCCAGTTCTCATCTTCCAGCTCTCCAGATACTCCGCGTACTATAGTTGTACTACAAAGTCGCCAGTTCTCAGCTTCCAGCTCCACAGATTGCTCCGCGTACTAAAGTTGTACTACAAAGTCGCCAGTTCTCATCTTCCAGCTCCCCAGATACTCCGCGTACTAAAGTTGTACTACAACTTCGCCAGTTCACATCTTCCAGCTCCCCAGATACTCCGCGTACTAAAGTTGTACTACAAAGTCGCCAGTTCTCAGCTTCCAGCTCCACAGATTGCTCCGCGTACTAGAGTTGCACTACAAAGTCGCCAGTTCTCATCTTCCAGCTCCACAGATACTCCGCGTACTAAAGTTGTACTAGAAAGTCGCCAGTTCTCA